CTCTGTCCTGCTCCTCGGCGTCTATGTCGACGATCTCATCACCACCGGCGCGGAGGAACGTGAAGTGGAGGCGTTAAAGGCATAGATGAAGATCTTCGACATGAGTGACCTCGGCCTCCTCAGCTTCTACCTCGGTGTTGAGGTGCGCCAAGATGCCAGCGGCATCACCCTCCGCCAGACACACTACGCCAAGCGCATTCTGGAGTTGGGTAGAATGGCTGGCTGCAACCTTGCCCACACTCCAATGGAGGAACGGCTGAGGCTTAGCAGGCACATCACGGCGGAGGAGGTCGACCCCACACACTACCGGCGGCTCGTGGGCAGTTTGCGCTACCTGGTGCACACTCACCCTGATCTGGCGTTCGCCGTCGGGTTCGTCAGCTGGTTCATGGAGCGGCCAACGGTGGAGCATCAACAGGCTGTCAAGTGCATCCTCCGCTATGTCGCTGGCACCCTGGACTTCGGTCTGCACTTCACCAAGGCGCCCGGCACCGCCCGGCTACTACGATAGCGACCTCGCCGGCGACATCGACACAAGCAAGAGCATGAGCGGAACGTTGTTCTTCCTCAGCAACTGCTTGGTCAGTTGGCAATCCATCAAGCAGAAGGTGGTGGCACTTTCAAGCTGTGAAGCCGAGTACATTGCCACCACTACTGCTGCTACACAAGCTATGTGGCTGTCAAGGCTGCCAGCAGAGCTTCTCAGCAGGCATGTCGAGGTGGTTGAGCTGAAGGTGGACAGCAAGTCAGCTCTCGCTCTGGCCAAGAATCCAGTATTCCATGAGAGGAGCAAGCACATCAGGATCAAGTACCAATTCATCCGAAGCTGCCTGGAAGATGGAAGCATCAAGGCCAATCACATTCCAACCACTGAGCAGCTTGCAGACATTCTCACTAAGTCTCTGGGCAAGGCTAAGTTTGAGGAGATGAGGGAGAGGATTGGTCTAAAGCAGATCATCTCCAAAGCTGAGCACAAGGCTAAGGGGGAGAAATGAGGGTTAAGCCTAGTGCTAATACCTCAATGTATCTAGTTTACCTACTTAAGCTATTTACTAATTCACTGTCTAGGCTAGTTACTATTCACTGTCTAGCAGTTTTCAGATGCCTTAGCATCCAAGCTAGAATCTACTTTATGCAGTAGAATATGCTGTAGTAGTTGAGACCTTCTTGTACCCCAAGTTTGCTACTTCTATTAATACAAAGAAGCGGCCTATGGCCAAGCAGCCCTCTGGCAGATCAAATTCCACTTGTCTAGATTGTTACCTGTGCAACAATTTATAATCATAATTCATATGTTTCAATTGTAATCTCCCACTACGACCCAAGGACCATGACAAACAGCTCGGATATTCCTTAGCTCCTGGAGGAAAACAATTTTATTGTCATTGCCTTGTGGCCCATAAACACAAGTGAGCCACCAAGGTTGGCCGCCTCTCGGACAGAATTGAACAGAGGCACAGTGGGAATCAGATCGGGAACTGAGAGCTGGAGCAAGATAGTGACGCCAAGCAGTGATCATTCCACCACTAGCTCCAATGGACGGCACTGCAACAAAATTGTCAAATCCGAGCCCAACATGGATAAAAGGACTTGTTGTGAAACAGCAGCCATCTTAGTCTCCTCGATACAAACTATGTCTACTCTAGCTGAGTCCACCAGAGTTCTTACAGTGTCAAGACAAGAATAATAACAACTTCAACAGAGCCATGATGGGCAGATTTTGAGGATTAATCAATGATTTATCGCTCGTGGAAATACCTTTGCATGGTCGCAAATTTACATGGTCCAACGGACAAGATTGTCCTACCTTGGTCAAGCTGGACAGGGTCTTATGCTCAACTGATTGGAAGGAATTGTTTCCAAATTGTTTGCTGCAAAGTGCTTCTACAGACAACTCCGACCACTGTCCAATCATCTTTGGATTACAGGACAGCAAGACGGGCAAGAGGCGGTTTCATTTTGAAGTTTTCTGGCCTAAACTGGAAGGGTTTCAGGCTGCGGTCGAGGATGCATGGTCAGCTATACCTGTGTCTTCCTGCCCCTTCGAGACTCTCCAAAAAATTCAGAGCTGTCACCAAAAGCCTGCAAAGTTGGAGCCATAAGAAAGTTGGACATGTGAATTCACAGTTAAGCCTTGCTAGAGAAATACTCCATATGTTGGAAATTGCGCAGGATAACCGGAACCTTACCGATCAGGAGATCTGGCTGAGGAATAGACTTGAGAAACACTCTCTAGCTTTGTCCTCTCTTCAACGCACTATTGCAAGGAGTCGGTCTCGAATTGGATGGTTGGGTGAAGGTGATGCTAACACAGCCCTCTTCCATCTTCATGCCTGACATAGGAAGAGGAAAAATTTCATTGCAAGAATTGTGGAGGGCAACAAAGTTCTTACTGCTCATGAAGATAAGGCCAAAGCAATCCTTGATTTCTACGATGGCCTGATTGGTAGCAGCTCGGATTGGGGGCAGACGATTGACCTCGTTGAGTTGGGAATTCCTTCTCACAACTTGGATGAGCTTGATGCTCCATTCTCAGAAGAGGAGGTCTGGAAGACAATTACCCTCTTGCCTTCAGATAAGGCCCCCGGCCTTGACGGTTTCACTGGACGTTTTTATAAAGCTTTCTGGCAGGTATAAAAGGGGACATCATGGCTGCATTTTCAGCAGTATGGAGCAGAAAATTCAGGAACTTGGGACACCTTAATTCTGCTTATATAACCTTGCTACCGAAAAAAGAAGATGCTGCAAATGTCAAAGATAACCTTGCTACCGAAAAAAGAAGATGCTGCAAATGTCAAAGATTTCAGACCAATTAGTTTAGTACATAGTTTTGCCAAACTTGTTACTAAATTACTTGCCAACAGATTAGCTGGTTGGCTGCACCAAATGCTCTCACCTAATCAAGTGCTTTTATCAAAGGAAGATTCACCCAATATAATTTCATGCTTGTGCAACAAACAACAAGATTTCTGCATCAACATCACTACATCTGCACCCCAGAATTCTTCTCAAGCTGGATATCACAAAGGCCTTCGATTCTGTTTCTTGGGCCTTCCTCCTTGAAGTGTTGAGGAAATTGTGATTTGGACAAATTTGGTGCGACATCTTGAGTGGGCTCTTGGCCACCTCATCGACACAAGTCCTTAATGGGATTCCTGGAGAGGTCATTCTACACCGGCGTGGGCTGCGGCAAGGAGATCCCTTGTCCCCTATGTTATTTATCCTTGTCATGGATATCTTGAGCCATTTGGTTTTAAGGGCTTCTAATGATGGTTTTCTGCAACCCCTGGCCTCCCGACCATTGAATCAGTGGATGTCCCTGTATGCTGATGATGCTGAGATTTTTCTGCGACCTACAGAAAGTGACATTGCAGTAATCCTTGATATCCTAAATCTGTTTGGTGAGGCATCAGGACTTGAGACCAATGTACAGAAGAGTAACGTCATACCTATCAAATGCACCTCTTCCGATATCAGTACAATACAGGATCACCTTTCATGTGAGTTGCTTGAATTCCCATGCAAATACTTGGGGCTACCCCTCTCCCTTCGGCAGTTGACAAAGGAACAGATGTGTCCTTTTATTAATCGGATTGCTGGTTGCCTTCCTGGATGGAAAGCTGACCTTCTAACTAAGGCAGGTCGATGGATTCTAGTACAGTTTGTTCTTACCTCTGCTGATTTTATCTTGTTATGGCAATAGACCTTGAACCTTGGGTAATCAATAAAATTGATAGGATCAGACGAGGCTTTCTTTGGAAAGGAAGAAAGGATGTAAAAGGCGGACACTGCCGGGTGGCATGGCCGGTGTATCGCCCACGTGAACTTGGTGGTCTTGGCATCTCGGATCTTCAAAAACTCAGTTGGGCCCTTCGAATGAGATGGCTTTGGTTGAAAAAAACTGAGCCAAATCGTCCATGGGCAGTATTCCCCATTCATGTGCATCAATGTGTAAGAGCTTTCTTCTCAGTGGTGGTCATTTCTGAAGTCGGTGATGGAGCTCGTACACTTTTTTTGGACAGATAGATGGCTTCATGATCGATGTATTGCTGATATTGCCCCACATTTGTTTGCTCTCATTCCTAAGAGACGAGCAAATAAACGCACTGTCCTGGAAGGTCTCACAAACCAGACATGGATCTCGGATCTGCAGGGTGCACTTTCAGTGAATGCCATTGTGGAATTTCTTGAGCTCTGGGACACTGTCTAGTGTGGAACTAAAGCCTGGTGTGGAGGATTCTCATATTTGGAAACTCAGCTCAAGTGGACAGTATACAGCCAAGTCGGCATATAGGTGTTTATTCCAGGTATCAGTGAGACTATTCTCTTGGGAGAGGATCTGGAAGACTTGGGCACTGGCCAAATGTCGCTTCTTCATGTGGCTTGTCGCAATGCTGGACAGCAGATAGGCTACCAAGGCGGGGTCTTGACCATCCCTCTCGTTGCCTTCTTTGTGACCAGGACGCAGAGACTATAAATCACCTTCTGGTTGACTATGTTTTTGCACGAGTTTTTTGGTTTGGCCTGTTGCAGAAGGTTGGCATGCAAAGCATCTGGTCACCCCAGACTGGTGAAACATCCTTTTGAGGCTTGGTGGGACAGAGCTAGCAAGGCTGCTGGTGGACTGGCAAGAAAAGGCTTGAACTCTCACTTTAGGAGCTTGGACACACTGGAATCACAGAAATCTCTGTGCGTTCAATGGACTTTCACCAAATCTAAATAGAGTTTTAACTCTTGCTTCCGATGAGTTGAGGTTGTGGGGGACTGCAGGTGCCAAGGGTATATCTTACCAAACTGGCCTGCTGTCGAGTTGTGATTGTTTCTGTAGGTCAGGGGTCGTTGTAAACTGTTCTCCAGGGTCCAAGGCGTGAGTGCGTGGTGTTGTATGGGTTTTCTTTCCCCCTTTTATTCTTCTTAATATAATGATACACCGTTCTCCTGCGTGTTCGAGAAAAAAAATGTTTCAATTGTGTATTAATCTGGTAGTCATGTTTTTGCAGGTGCTTTCTGAGAAACTTCCAGAGCTTCTAGATTTCCCGAAAGACTTGTCTAGCTTGGAGCTGGCGGCAAAGGTGTAAATTAAATGTAGTTTTTGGCATTTGGCCACTTTGAATATTAATCTTAAGTGATTAACCCTTCCCCAGACCCCGCACAGAGCGGGAGCTCTCTGCACTGGGTATGCCCTTTTTTATTTACTGATTCATTTCTTGGCGAACTGATATAATGCAGATACAATTGAAGTCTTTAGCAGAGGAAATGCAGGCTGTAAACAAAGGACTCGAGAAAGTTGAGCAAGAGCTTACTACATCTGAAAATGATGGTCCTGTGTCAGAGATCTTCCGCAAGGTGACTGTTACTAACCTTGGAGACTTGGGAAGAATACTTCCATTAGTCTTCGTGTAGATATATACAGCCATAGTATGTGCCAATATGGACCTAGATGATATGGGCCTTAACAGTGACTACTGCTGCTGCATCTTTATAATCTAATAACTGCACTTAACATGACTATAGTACTGTTTGCACCTAAGTACGCTGTTTAGAAAACCAACCTGGACCAGTGGTGTGACTGGAAAACAAAGAATGTGCTGGACATTGTTTCAAGAGAATGGTAAAAGTACTATCTTAGTCCCAGCATTGGCAGGAAGTGAACCCCACACCACTGAGCTGCTTTCAAATGTCCCACACAAAGCAATTATGCTAAGGCGTTTGTTTGAGTGACCATAGTTTGCATTTAAAGCAACTGTTTCTTCTTGGTAGTGCCATCACTTATGAAACTGTACACATGGCTTGTTTGTGCACCTTCCGGTTTCTAGAACTATGTGTTGGTACAAGCTTGCTCTTTTAGTTTTGATGTTATTTCTTGAATGTATTACAAAGTGGGAAACGAATTACCTTTTTGGCAGACACTGAAGGATTTCCTCATTGGTGCGGAAGCTGAAGTTAGATCTTTGACCTCACTTTATTCTAATGTGGTATGATTTTCTCCCTATAGCAAATTTCATTCATGCCTTATAACAACCCATTAACACTGTTGTCAGTGGATTGTGCTTCTACAAATGAATTGAAAATGAATAAAACATGTTAGAAGTACAAAAATGATTATTAGGTGCTGGGAGTTATTTGAAATAAACTTGAAAATTTGAAAGATAAATTTAGAATAGTCAATAATTCTAAAATGTTAAAAAGAGGGAGCACATACAGTTTAGGACTCAATTCAGAATTAAGGGATTTGAAGATTATAATGTAATCATATCATACACTTTGTATGTCATACTTTGATCTATTTCTTTCGTACTCACTTTTTATTGTCTTTCATCATCTTATGGCCATTTTCTTAGGTCACACTATGTATTTATATTAAGAGGTTTCTGTGAATTTTATTTTTTTTCCCTATCATATGTTTAGATATAAGCCGCTTTTAATTTACATTGTTCCTTTATTTATTCTTATAGTACTAGACATATATTACTTTCATTTTTGTTGAACTTTTGATACTTATATATTTTCAATTCAATATGATGCGTTTTCTACAAGGGTATTTTCATCATCTGGATTATTTTTCTTTGTTCTCAAATAAAATCCACTGAGCATTATTCTATATCTTAATTATTATTTATAGTATGGAGTTAGAATAAATTCATTTAGAAGAACTTTGGATTTATAACCAGAAGTTTCTATTGGGTATTTTATTTATTATTATTATTATTATTTTTATTTTTGGTGCACTCATAGTTTTCACTAGCGTTCCTTTTAATATGAAGACATGATTTTGAGAGTTTCGATTCTTTGTTGTTCTCTTCATTATTGCATTTTTGCCTTTTTCCCTAGAGTTTGACCATATTATTTAATTGGGAAATTGCACAACACCCACTACATTTGGGGGTTTGTCCAAAATACACCTAGAATTTGTTTTTTGTTACAACATCTACTATTCTCGTGTCCAATCATGATATTATGTCATTAGTATGGCTTCAAGGGCAGCATGGTGACGTTAAGCATGTTTCTAGCATCCATGTAATCCAATTTAATAGTCCATATAGTGCACACTCTACTTGCATCTTTTGTTCAATTAGATGGTCCTAATGATGCTGTTAGCCAGGCCATACAACATGCATAGAACAGCATTTAGGGTCATTTGAAAACAAAGAAAGTGTTGTGGATGTGAAACTGACAAAAAAGAGATTGTAAGGTTTTAACCGCTTGTTCAGATTGCAATTCAAAATTTTATCCTAAGCTCCTCTATTTTGACACCTGCAGGGCCGAAATGCAGATGCATTAGCGCTTTATTTTGGAGAAGATCCAGCACGATGTCCATTTGAGCAAGGTGATCTTGCTCACTTATTGTTCTGGGAATATGTTTAGCTTATCTATGAGTTGGAGATTGTTTCTCTTGGTTTTTTTTTGTTCACAAATATTTCCCCGTGTTTTGGCAGTAGTTACAACACTCCAAAACTTTGTGAGGTTGTTCACGCGTTCCCATGAAGAGAACTGTAAGCAACTGGATCTTGAAAAGAAGAAAGCTCTGAAGGAAGCAGAAGAAAATTGTAAACATCTGGACCTTGAAAAGAAGAAAGCCCAGAAGGAAGCAGAAGAAAATTGTAAACAACTGGACCTTGAAAAGAAGAAAGCCCAGAAGGAAGCAGAAACAGAGAAAATAAAGAAGAAATCTGACAGTGAGAAAGCTTGTAAGAAAGAATTGGAAAATGATAAATCTTCTAAGAAGGAATCAGCAAATGAGAAAGCCAAGCTAAACAACACGATCAAAGAACTAGATATATCACTTCAATCACCTGCCCAAACTGCCAGTGCCAAATGATGACCGTACCAGATGAACTAACAACAGTAGCTTTTCCAATAGAGGAAAACTAGTTTTGGCTGCTCCCAACAATGCTCTCTTTTGACGAATCTGCAGGATAAGGAGGCCAAAAACTGCACTGGTAAGCATCATAGAATTTTCTCAAGCTATAGAAAACAGTAAAATTCTTGATCAATAAGGTATATTTCAGTCTTGGATAAGTGCTATTGTATAGCTTATTCCATAGTAATGTTTGTTCTGCAGTTAATACCTTCTCAGGGGATTGTTGAAGAAATAACCCTGGCGACAAGCTGTACAGATCTCTGATATAATAATAGTTTATCTTTTGGGTAATAGATAGATTATCCTTACAATTTTGTCTTTCTTTCTTGATTAGATGTAGCTAATGTCTGGCATTATTTAAAATTAACATATATATATATATATATATATATATATATATGAAGAGCGGGCCTGGTGCAAGCGGTAGAGTCTTACCGCTTGTGACCGGAAGGTCCCGGGTTCGAGTCGCGGTCTCCTCGCATTGCACAGGCGAGGGTAAGGCTTGCCACTGACACCCTTTCCCAGACCCCGCACAGAGCGGGAGCTCTCTGCACTGGGTACGCCCTTTTAATATATATATATATATATATAGAGAGAGAGAGGTAAGGCTATTCTGCAGTTGGTCACAGAATAACTTATTCTATAGCCACCTTGTTTTACTGTAATGTTTGTACCAATTTACGATAATGACAATACATATTTACGATACATGGGTTATTATAATTCAAGATGATACTTACCATAATGTTATAGTAAATCACTTATGAGAGAGTTATCATAATCTCGTAAATTAGTATAGTAATTATCGTAACTCAAAGTGGCCACAGAATAACTTATTCTGCGGCCAGCTATAGAACAGTACGTCTATATATTATATATATATATATATATATATATATATATTAATTAGTTGTTGAAAGATAAAGTTTAGTTCTGACATAATTTTGTTTGCTTAGTCTTTTTTTTTTGTAGTCAGCTAATATTGTAAAGATAAATTACAATTTTGTTTGTCTTCTTGATCCAAGGGTTGACCCCTGCTTCGATGAATGGTTTATGCATGTAAAACTCCAATTGTGCAACTGTCCTTGTACAAAAGGTGAACCTGTCCTGAGGTCAGTCTTAGAATCTAGAATGGGTGCAACTGCAAGTAGGGATGCAAACATGCATCGACATGCAAATTAAGTCTATTTGCAGGTTTGCGAACAAGCCTATCCCTAACTGCAAGTTTCTTAAGTGGTCTTGCAATGTTTTTATTTGGAATGCTAGAGAAGACAGACGTCCACGCAAATTGCTGAAAAACATATACATTGTATTTGTATATTTAGTACTCCATCCATAAAATAAGTGTAAATCTTGCATCTCAAGGATTTGATTAATCTGAACTTTTACTATTGTTTGGTACAACTTGTAGCTCGGGCTCCTACACTAGCAATTGTAGCAATACTGTTCACAAAGAGAATATTGTTCATAGGAGCTATTCTTTCTCTCCTTGCAAAATGAATGTGGAGCCGGGAGAAATCAAGATTTGTGGCTTCTTTGGTACTGTAGCATCAAGTCGGAGCCTGGCCAACCAGGCCCTAAATATAAAAAAAAGATATTAATAGTTATGATATGCTATAAGTATCATTAGATTTATGATAAACTATGTTTATTAGTTCCTGGCGTCGCGTGGCGACTCGAGAAACATTCTCGTCGAGTGATTAGGGTTTCTTCTTCCTCTCGTGCCTGACTCGGATCTCTCCCCGGTGATCTGAGTCCTGAGTCCACAATCCAAAAACCTCGTTCGTGTCCACAGTCAATTCTCCGTCAGGAGCCCAGCCTTCCTTTGCTAGCCGAGATTTAGATGGCCGGGAGAACGAGGGTCGGTGTTTGTGCTGTTGGCGGCGGCGACCCCATGGATCCAAGGGGTGATGGAGTGTCGGGGTTGATGGAGAAGTTGAAGTTGTCTGACAACGAGAAAGAAGGGGATCAAGATCGGGGGTGCTAAGGCGGTGAGCAAGGGAGCGGTGGAACCACAGGCGGTGGTGAAGATCCTGGCTGAGAAACTGGTTAGGGCAGATGCACTGGAGATGTCTTTGGGGCACGTCTGGTGCCCGATCAAAGGGGTAGAGTGTAAGGATCTGGGGGAGAACCGGTTTCTCTTCACTTTTCTCTAGGGATGAGGAAGTGTAAGGATCTGGGGGAGAACCGGTTTCTCTTCACTTTTCTCTAGGGATGAGGAAAGAGGAGGGCTCTGGAGGATGGCCCTTGGATGTTCGCGAAAGACCTAGTTGTGGTGGCTGATTTTGATGGTGACAAAACCATAGACGAGGTGGAGTTCAATTTCATCCCGATATGGGTGTGGATTGAAATCAATAAGGATTGCGTGGAATAATAGATTGATTGATTGGAGAGACCTATGTACATATATATAGGGGAGAGGAGATCTCGTGGTTTATAGAAACAGGATCAAACCGAGATCTCCTCAGATCTCTCTAACCAAATAGAGGACCGGCCGGCTATACCAAGGCCCAGGCCCATATACACACGCATATATACATTTACAGTCTAACACCCTCCCACAGTCACAGCGCCGTGTTTGCGAACATTGAAACTGGACCGAAACTTCGTGAAGACAGAAGAAGGCAAGCCTTTGGTGAAGATGTCGGCGAACTGGGACGTCGTCGGGACGTGAAGAACGCGGACATCACCAGGAGCCACTCGTTCTCGGACGAAGTAAAGATCGATCTCAATATGCTTGGTACGCTGATGCTGAACAGGGTTGGAAGACATGTAAACTGTACTAATGTTGTCACAATACACCAACGTTGCTTGACGTAGAGGTGTATGTAGCTCAGACAATAGCTGGTGCAACCAGGAAGCCTCTGCAACCGCATTAGCTACAGCACGGTACTCAGCTTTAGCACTAGAGCGGGAGACAGTGTTCTGGCGCTTGGAGGACCAGGAGACCAAGTTGTCACCGAGAACACAGCATAGCCCGAGGTGGACTTACGAGTGTCAGGACAACCAGCTCTCAATTTGCATCTGAGTAGATGAAAGGTCCTTGTTTGATTTTTGTAATTGAGTGACAACCTAGGTGGACTAATTGTGTTTACGTGAGATACACAGGTGATTAGTCCACAGGTACATGTGTGTGAGCAACATATGCCATGAAGGTGACAATGGCTTGGAGATGTTGCAAAACTCACACATGTGATGATGAAGGAGCTTATTACAAATGAAACATGACATTGAGTCATGTGATCAAGGTGGAGAAGATCAAGACAAGACTTGGCTTGATGGACCGGTTGCAAGCGTGAAGGGCAAGTCGGAGGCTTTGGAGTGATGGATCGCGTGGCGGTGAAGCTTGAGCAAGACTTGGCGCCGATGGACGATGGCAACAGTGAAGAGCAAGTGAAGTCAAGATCGATGAACCAATATGATCACGTGATGATATAAAGTGGATCATATCATTGTTGATCGTGTTGGTGTATGTGTTGCATCGACGATGGAGGAGATGGAATGGAATGCGCAAGGCAAAGGTATAACCTAGGGTATTTCATTTCACCGGTCATAGGTGTGTAGAGAAGTTTATGACCGGGTTTAGAATAGATGGTCGTACTATCAAGAGGGGCAAACTTGTTTGCAGATCGGTCATCTTGTGCCACTCGAGTGATCTAACTTTGCATCGTTGTTAGGATCGAGTGGCGTGGCAAGTTGAGTGGCTAATCCTTTGGAAAATGATTGTGAAAATGCTAACACACATACACATGGTGGTGTACACTTGGTGGTGTTGGCACATTTACAAAGGAGGTGGCGCAAGCTCGACGGGATTCGGCGCTTTCGGGAAAATGGAATGCCTATTTTCTATTGCGCCGGATGCAAATTCTTGTGGTTGGCACATTGGAGCAAAGGTGAAGAAGTTAGACGTGAAAACGAGTTGATCGCGAAGACGCTGGCGTCGGTCTACTGACCGGACGCTGGGTCTGAAAGCACCGGACCCTGGCAGCGTGTGTCCGGTCAAACTGATGGGTCTACGCAGTGCCGAGGGTATTGCACCGGACGCGTCCGGTCGAAGAAATACGCCTCGGGAAGCTTACTGGAAACGACCGGACGCTGGGGCTTCAGCGTCCGGTCAGTTTTACCGGAGCGTCCGGTCAACTACGTAGCCATTGAAATCGGGCGATCAGCGTTTGAAGGAGGGGACATGTGGCGAGTATCACGTGACCGGACGCTGAGATCCAGCGTCCGGTCGATCGAACCGGAGCGTTCGGTCGGCCCGACTTTTGCCCAGTGAAGGGGTAACGGCTAGTTTAGCCGTTGGGGCTATAAATAGAAGTGACCCTCGGCCATGGCGAGCGCTTAGCACCTAAGGGGACTTAGTGTCCATGTTTGTGAGTGCTTGGGAGCCCTCCATCACACATATACTTGATAGTGATCATTCGATTGTGTGAGTGAGCGATTCTAGTGCGATTGCATCGTGAGGTTGCATCGAGTGGCACTAGGTGATCGAGTTGCAAGCCGGTGGTGCTTGTTACTCTTGGAGGTTGCCACCTCCTAGACGGCTTGGTGGTGGTCTCCGTCGAAGCCCGCAAGACGATTGTGCGGCGCTCCAGAGAAGTGCTTGTGAGGGGTATTGTGCTCGCCCCGCGAGAGCCGCAAAGAGCAACTCTAGTAAAGCGTGTCATTGAGCTACCCTCACTCAAGGGGTAGGTTCTTGCGGCGCCCGACATGCGGGCTTAGCGGGTGATGCTAATTAGTCGCCGAACCACCAAGTGAGCGGTCGACACAACGGGGACTAGCGTGTTGGCAAACACGTGAACCTCGGGAGAAAAATCATCGTGTCAACGTTGTTCTTCCCGTTGGTTTGCATCCCCATTACACAAGCTTGCAATTACTTTTATACATATTAAGCTTGTGTAGTTGCTCTTGTAATTAGATAGCTTGTGTAGCTTGCTAATTATCATCTTGCTTGTGTA